TTCAAAAACTGTTACATTCAAACTTGGTGGGTACTTAAAAAGAAAAGGTATTCCATTAAGAATGCTCCTTTTGAAAAAGAAACAGTTGCATCAAAGAACTTAAGAGCACTCTGGCTTGTGGCATTGAGATGCTCATGACTGAGGCCGCCATGTTCTGAGGGCAGGTGCAAGGTACCAGGTGCCACTGAGAAAGAATAGGCTCTCCCAGTAGGGAGCATGCTGACCAGTGCTGCCCAGACAGATCTCAACCCAGGAACTACCAGGGAAGCTTCTAGAGCAGTGTAAGGAGCAGGTAGGACAGATAGAGTTCTGCTCTCTGGCACACAGTAGGCACCCCCCAAAAACTGTGTCTGGAATGAAAGACGCCATAGAGAAGCCTTTCTACCATGACCAGGTACCACATCAAAAGTTATTTTATCTCTAAAGAAGTGGAGAGCTTCCTCATAAAAAGCCAGTGGCCAGAAGAGAATGAGTGATTGCTCGTTGTTCGCACAGACTTGCAAAGAAATTGATATTTTTGTTTAAATCTTTATTTTAAATAACCAAGATGATGTCTAAGCTAGGTACCTGATAGTAAGCCTTTTTCATCATTTCCTTCAAAATGGTAAATTTTCTTATACAGGGTGTCCCAAAAGTTGCCATACATAGGGAAAATGGGAAACCATAGCTAATGTACCTTTATTTACAAAGTATTCATTGCAGAATTTTTCCTTTGTATGGAAACTTTTGGGACACCTTGTATTTTAGATGAATGTAGTGAATGGTATTAACTCAAGTTTATTCTATTAATGAAGATTTCTATTTTGTTAAGTCTAACCGATCTTGTATTTGCAGCTTATTATACCTATTAGAGGATCAGAGGTCAGAGGTTTTGCTATCTACCTGTAAATGGTGTCACTTTGAGACAGCTACCTAGATATCAGTCTTAAGCTCATAGCATGCATGGTAAGGCTTCACAATTGATTTATCCACTTACTATTACCAAGTGGCTACTAGTGCCACCACAAGCTGGGTCCTGAGGCAGGTGATAGGAATATAAAGGAGAAAATGATATGGTCTCAACCAGAAACATTTCAAACTCTAGTAGTTCTACCCTTTGTGGCAACTCTAATATTATAATATAGGATCCATGGCTTTCGTGAAAAGATAAGATTCCATATGCTTTTTGACAAAATGATATGCTATCCTAAAACTGAATTGTAATCACAATTTTTATGTTTGTGGGGCCATATTTTCAGGAACCAAAGGAGCTTGTTATTTGATGAAAACATTTTATGAATCCTTTGTAAAGGAATTTATCATCATGCCATCATTTTTCTATTTAAATATGTGTTTCTCTACACAGGGAGATACTTCCCATTCACAGGGAATATGTTCCATATTGCTTTGAATCCCACTATTATTTTGTCAATGATGGATAAACAGGGAACTTTATTTCTGAAAGAAACTGTCACCAACTGTCCATATTTCTCAACCAAATTTTGTCCTTTTCAATGATTTTAACAATTCTTCTAGCAGAATAGAATTTAGAGTGATGCTTTCTTAGAAGCTAATAACTTTTAATTAATTCTCCATCTACCTTCTAGATCTGAATGTCTCTAAGCAAGAAGAGTAGTTAAAATCCTGCCCTTCTGGAAATGCAAATTAAAACCACAATGAGATATCACTTATCTCCAGTGAGACTGGCCTTTATCAAAAAGTCCCAAAACAATAAATGTTGATGTGGA